TCTTAACTCTGCAAAATCTCTACTTGGATTCATGAGGAAACAACGTTTTTATAACTTTCTATTTTCTTATATTTGTGTGAGATGAAACAAGAAGAGAGATGACATTTTAAAGTGCAATTTGAGCATTTCAAAGAGTTAATCACAATCTCCTAGTCCTACATATCCCACATCAGTCAACGGTGTTGCCCCCTTTATTTTCATTCTCCCACCCAACCCATGTAAGGGAAATAGTTTAGAAAAATCATGTAGCGAAAAAAAATACAGAAAAAGCTCAACTAACTTTATTTTAAGTGACCCGGAACTAGCCAGACTACCAATTTAATTATTGTTACTCATATTTTATATGATGATTTTTCACCTTTATTGAAGACCTCTACCTTTACTTGCCAATTAAGATTCAGCACAAATAAGCATAACTCAACAACAGTTTCTCCTAGGCTACAAAGACTATGGTGAGTAGGTCCCTGAATTGATGCCATGACAATTAGCAACAATGTCGCTAACCCAAATTAACAACAGAACAATCCACAAATGCCAAGAACAAATGCTGATATTTGGGTATTTAAGTTAAAAGTGAGTAGCTTCTATGATTTATTAGAAAAACCAAACTGAATTCAACACTTAGTTCCAATAGCTTCTGCAATATTATATTTTGATATAATGGTGGAGCATTTCTTCAAAAAAGCTAATGTTGAAAAACGGATCTTCAAATATGCTAATACAACCTCCAAAATACTATTTTGGGGTTGCTTGCTTGATTATAGCCCAACATGTCAGCTTATTTTATTGTTCTCCTTCAATGCAATCACAAGGCAAAAAGAAACAAGGCCAGATGGCTAAATTAAGAAGAGTCTTTTTAGATGTGCGCTGAAGAGGAGTAGAGACCAAAAGACCAAAATGTGAATATTGGGGAAGTTTAGCTGAAGTGTTGACAACACTAGGGATATAGCTGCCAGTCAGCTTTCTGCCTTCTGTTCTCAGTTGAAAACACTCAAACCTTCTTTTGGTGGGACTGAGAGAAGCAGCAGCAGACAAAACGCAAAACAATTTTTTAAAAAGAGTCCTGAAATCTGTTTCCAGAGACACCACCAGTTAAAAATCAGCTTTGACAAAGGACCTCACAGTTAATAAGCAGAGGTTTCACAGACAAACACTGATGATTTATAATATTTAGCTATTAAATTAGCAAAAATGAAAAAGGAGTGGCACTCTTCAGTAAGGATAAAGATATGGTACTTTCATATGCAAAGGTTAGAAGTGTAAATTATTGCCCTTTCAGGAACACCATTTAGATATATCTAACAAACGATGAAATACACATACCATTTTCATCCAACAACACTATTTCTAGAAAGTAACCTTGTAGACATGCTTAATGAAGTGCACAAAACATATGCACCAGGGTTTGTTTTTATAGTGAAGCCTTGTTTATAATGGAAAAATAAAATAGTTGCAACTAAAATATGTAGCACAAGATATTTTTAAACTAAATTGTGTGCATCCATACAGTTAAAAACTATTAAAATAAGGTAATGACATGGAAATATATATATATATATATACATATATATATATGCAATATGTTTAATGAAAAAATATACATTCTAAAATATTGTGCACAGTATGATCACACTGATATAAAAACAATGTGTGTTTGAGAACAAATTTCTAGCAGTAATTATTTATACAGAGTATGATTATAGGGGATCTAGCTTCATATTGTTATTTTCATTTTACCTAATTTTTCTTTGTACCATTTCATATTTAATGTTATAATGTGAAACACAAATGTAGATATTTATGTTTAAAATTTGGGAGACATAATATTTCTTTCCAAAAACCTGAAAATAAAACACTAATAAAAGGAAAGTATTGTGTGGAAAAATTACTATGAGGAATACTAAATATCACTGAGGTGTTTAACAGTTTTCAGAATTTTTTTTTTAGTTGCAAAAGACTAGGAATTCTGATTTGATGTTGTTCAGATAAGATTCAGTATCCATTTTTGAAACTATACATAATTAATGGTCAATTATTATAATTAATTTAAAGTAAGTATAGCTCATTATATTCTATTTTGCTATTATTCAGAAGTTTTGTGTAATAATGTCTTTACTTTTAACATGATTTCCCACCACTGCAGTGCATTTGTACACTTAGATCATCAATTGTCAACCGGTGTGCAGCAGTAGGCATACTGGTGTACCACAAGGATTTTTAAAACATGCAATAGCTGACTATTTAGTCAGGGGCACAGACCTCCTTCCCCTTAGATTGTCAAATGAAAAAATGACAACAGTCAACACAACAATAGCCATCTGGTGTGAAGGAATCAAAATTATAGCTATCTTTTTTTGTCAGATTGGCAAAAAATACGTATTATGCATATCTTCACATAAAAATGTATTCTTTGCAAATACTATTTTATGTCCTCTATAATAATAAAAGCATAATATGCTAATTAGACCAGACGACCTTCCGGACGAAGCTGGGGCTGCTGCTGCAGGATGGAGGCAGCCCCTGCGGCTGCGAAGGCCTACTCTTACACGAATTTCATGCATCAGGCTCTAGTTTTTAGATAATATGGTTATAATTTAAAAGTTAATATAAGTCCAGCTACATTAATTATGTAGTGAAATTCAAACTCTATTTCCCTAGATCCCATTTGTAAATCAAAAATGGAATCTTATCAACTCAAGGGAAGTTAGGATTGAAACAAAGTGTACCTCATAGGTCGGGGCTCCATTTATATACTGATTTCTGCCGGAAAAAGGTCACAAGCATTTCTTCTAGCACAGACAGTGCTAAAAATAGGGTGTGTGTAAGCCAAAAAAATAAAATAAAATTGGAGGTTGGAAGCAGCAGAAAAATATGACAGTGTGATATAGTCAAGACTGTCATTGCACTAGGTATAGTAGGAAAATGTGAAAAATCAATAAAAATGATTTCTTTAATGTTATTAGATTTTCCCTGCTGACAAAACATAGTGGGTATTTCTTATACACACACACACACACATACACACACCTAAAACATGCCCACAAAGTAAAACAAAAGACATTTTTAACATTTTAAAACTTCAAATTATTATTTCAACAGGAAAATAATAGCCAGATAGAGCAAACACTTTTTTATTTTTAGTTTAAAAAGACTATGCTGACATTTCTAAATATTTCTTGCCTTTTACTTTTTTGCATTTGGAAGAGAGAACAGTGTTCGATTCTGCCCTATTTATGTTTCTACTCAGGAACAAACATTAGTTGTGTGCATGTGTGTGTTTTTGTGTTTTTTTTAAAAAAAAAATAGGAAGAAGAAAACTACTCCTCCCTTTCCTTGCTTTCTGCCCCAGCCTCCTCTGTTCTTCCGACAGACACCCTTCCACCTTTCCTCCCCACCCTTTTTGTTTTTTTCGCCTCCCCCAGTTTTGTTTTGCTACAAGTCTACATTCCTGTTTGTAATACTTGGTTTGCCCGGTTTTCTGTTTTCAGTAAAGTCTCCTTATGGCAAAAAAAAAAAAAAAAAAAAAAAAAAGACTATGCTGATATATCCATTGTCTTACCACCTTTCTTTATTGCTACAGCTACTAAGAAGTTTATTTATACAGGTATCTATTTTTTTTTTAAACCTCACCTGAGGATATTTTTTCCATTGATTTTTTGATAAAGTGGAAGGGAGGGAAGGAGAGAGGGAAAAAGAGAGAGAGGGAGCACAGGTGGTAATTAACCTGCAACCCAGATACATGCCCTTGACCTGGAATGGAACTTGCAACCCTTAGGTGTATAGGCTGACACTCTAACCACTAAGGACACTGGCCAGGGTCTATGATTATTATTATTATTTTTATAAACACAGTGTTTTATTATCCCATCTTATAAAGATAAGAATATGTGCAGACCCAGGAATACTAAGGAGAGCTGGCAAACATTTCTCCCACTTAGTATGCTTTCCTTTAACTTTACTGAAAGAACCACCATAGCTTCTATGACTGTGTAGCCAGGTGGCTGGTTGCAAGTTGTCTATATATAGCCAAGATTCTCCACTCAGGCAAGCATTGTTTTTGGTTGTTTTGTTTCCTTAAATAAGAGCAAAATGGGGAAAGCTCTCTCTTTTGGGGGAAACTATCCTTGCTCCTCTTGCCCCCTCAGTCTTCCATCCTGTCTTCTTCTTCTGCCTCATGACAATTAATCAGTGAATGAGTATTGAAAATAAAAATAAACACTTGCCGAGTTGTAATTAGGAAGAGATTTACATGAATTTTGTCTCTGTCTGCTCTTATTTGCCATGAAATTATGAAAAATTCAAATCTGTCTTCTTAGCATTTTTATATATTGTAAATACAAGGTGACAGCAAATAAATTAGAAAATGTGGATATTTTAGACCATATGGTAATAGATGATTGTTTGCAATCTCTGGGGATGCTTGGTTAGATTTAAAAAAAAATAGGAGCAAAATCCATAATACATTACCTAGACAGGCTCTGTATGGACTCTGGCAAATTTTAAGAATGATTACAACCACCAATTTTTTTTCTAATATATTTCTAGAAGCGTAGAGAGCAACTAAATGATTATTCACCATCCATATCTGCATTACCATTTCATGACAAGATATATTCTTTAATAAGCTGGCGCTAGAATAAACATTTGCAATAAGCCTTCAGCTAAAATTTTTCTTCAATTTGAAAAATAATAAAAAGTGAAGCTAAAAAGTCCCAGGTGTCAGACAAATGAAAGCATTCTATGAAAGCACATATACCTTTACAGCTATTACTAACGCAATAGTTTTTTCTCTTGGTCAAAGAAAAGTTACAATTTTTTCTAAAAGTAATAGCTCTTGGCATATAAATTTATCTCATAGGTCTGAAACAAAAGTGCAATTCATCCGCCATCAAAACATAATAAAAGTGATTATTTCAGTTGTCTATTACCTAGTGGTAGCACTTGCTACACATATTTAAAGGAATGCTTAGACAATAAAACAATTTCAGAAAATAACTTACCCTCCTTTAATATAGTCAAGGAATGAAACTTCTGTTTCTACCAAGAAAGAGAGTAAGGTTACCTGAAAAAAAAAAAAAAAAGAAAGAAAGAAAAGAAAAGAAAGAAAGAATGAAAGAGAAAAACAGGGCAGGATCACCAGCTAGTACTAATTGCAACCCCAAATGGACTCCCCCCCAACCCCAACTATTAGGGAGAAAATCATATTTTCTAGCATTTGAAAATCAAAGATATTCTTTATTAAAATCTGCAGGACTGATTTTTCTTACATTTAAAATTATCAGAAGGAAAAGGGCCAAAAATTTTTAACTAATTTCTATGACCAGTTTAGTTCCTTTAAAGAATAGCATAAAACTTATTTTCAAGGACACTGTGTTACTTCTCATTTTAGATAAAAGAAAAGATGAAAGGGAGTTGAAAAATGGTTAAAACTAAAAAATCAAAATGAATAAGCTTCGTTGTGTCAAAGGAAATGTGTGTCTCTGCCATGGTTCGGTAATGAGGCCATCTAATATTTCAGGTGTCTTGCTTTATAGAAATGTTTAAAAGGAAACTTGGAGAGAATGCAGAAGTTGCTTCCCCCAAAGAGAATTAGTTTTAGGGTAAAATCTTCAGTATATATTTTTTTTTTATCAAAATAGGATGATTTTGATTTTTCACAATTTCAGGATACTTTCATTTTTGCACCTTCTGCACTGATTTAGTGAAGCATTCCTACCGAGTTGTAAATGTTAATGAACTATAAACAAGTACTTCCTCATGCTATAAAATGAGTCATAATAATTAAGGTTAGCCTATAAGGACTATAGTATTTTTCACTACCACTTACATTTTTTCATGTCTGCTTGATTCTCTCTAGGGTGGTTCCAAAGAAGAATTATTCTTAACAAAACTTCAGCTTCCCTCACAGGCATTATGACCCCCTGGACCTAGAGCAGTGGTTCTCAACCTTCTGGCCCTTTAAATACAGTTCCTCATGTTGTGACCCAACCATAAAATTATTTTCGTTGCTACTTCATAACTGTAATAATGCTACTGTTATGAATCGCAATGTAAATATCTGATATGCAGAATGGTCTTAGGCGACCCCTGTGAAAGGGTCGTTCGACCGCCAAAGGGGTCGCGACCCACAGGTTGAGAACCGCTGACCTAGAGCAACCTGCAGAGAGCTGGCTCACTATCTCCCACAAGGTGTTCTCCATTAGAAACATTCCCATGGCAGTTTATTTTTCTATTATATACCTTCATATTAAAATTCTAAGTGAAGAGTTGCTTCGATTCTGATGAAAACTGTTATACCTATACATTTTTATTCATTTGTTTGAATCCTTAAAGAATAACATAATACTTGACTTACTGTTCCCGAATTAATGTATTTTTTCTTTTTTACTTTCTTTTTGGGATTCACCACCTTAAAAAGATAAAACAATTACAATGTGTTAGGTTTGATACTAAAATTATTTTAAAATGTGTAGCTCAACCTGCTGCCTTTACTTCTTATGCCTTTCTTCATTTACCAATGCCTTTATTATGACTCCTGCAGTCATTTAGCCAAAATTCCTCTGCCATAGTTACTACGGTTATTCATTCATCTTAAAAAGCTTTATTTTATTAATGTTCTCAGTGATGTTATGCATTGATTACTCTTACCCATCTGCATCTCTTGATATGAGAAAGACTTTTAATACTGAAGGTTCTAAATAATAATAAGTGCTTTGTAGAAAAAATATATATATACATTGTGACAGAAAAGCATAGTCAAAAGACATAATTTTTCAGTAGGTTAAATACACTAACATAGCAGATCATCCGGATATGTAGATATATAAGGGCTCTATGGACTATATTGCTTTATTCTGGTAATAATGTCAACCAGACACTCAGGCTGCACAATAATTGATAAAGGTATAATTTGTGGACAGAAGACTGAATTTGGGGCTGTTTGTGCATGAGAAATATTACTTTATCCTACAGTGCAGTAATATTCTCTCTATATGGGAAGATAGAGAGAACATGAAGATGAGGAAAGCCTTTTAATCTAATAGGATAAATCAACCTAACAGGATAAATGCCTTAAAAAAGGATCTTTCAGCACGTCTCAATCCAAAATGTAAAGGGCGCATTTTAATAGGGAAATGAAAGAATTTATAAGTAAGTATTATTTGAACTAGAATTTATTCATTTAAACTAGGGTTCCAATGAAAGGGAATAGACAAATGCAATGGTCTAGAAAGAGAAAAAGGTAATTGGCCCAGGTTGGCTGAAACAGAGCGCAAAAAATCATAAAGATTAAAAAAGTCTGACGGCTTGCTGGCATATGGATCCAGCAGGACACATCGCCTTCTGCATTCTTGGAGAGCCTAAAAGGGCCCTTTACTTGGGTCCGGCCCCTTCACAGCTGCAGTCCACCAATAGTCCTGCAGATCCAGGGTGATGGTCCTATCTGCAACCCCTTAGATCCTTAAAGGGCCCAACACTCACTTCCAGACCCACCCAGCCACAGTTGTAAGCAATCTTGCTGACACAGAGACCCACTATAAAACACTCATGTGCACCTCAGGAGATCCTGAAATATCCTTATATTTGGGTCCAGCCCACCCAAGGGCCTAACAGGACACATGCTCATCTGTGCCTCCAGAGCCAGATCTACGGATCTCAGTCTTGGCTATGGAACCTGAAAGAGCCCCGGGGCTTAGTTCCAGGCCCTCTTAGGCATGGCCCAGGTCCGGCCCACTAAGCGGGGAGACCTCCCAGGCACCTGGCACAAGCCACACCTACCTGTGCACCTAGTAACATGTTAGCTGACTGAAGACCCAGTACCACCTTACTGAGAAAGGCACTGAGCCAGTCTCTTCCACCTAGGGACCAATCGTGCCCCTGGTGATAAGCACACCCACCAAGGACCCCACTATAGACCTAGCAATAGCCTCAAAATGAGTTCCAACCCAGTATAACTGCAATTCTGGGGATAATGCTTTCATCCCACAAATCAGACAAACTTTACCTGCCAAACTAATCTAGATTTTTTTAAAGCTCAGGCATATTGCTGGGATCTAGAAGGTCAAGTATATGTGCGGGTCTCTACATGGCCAGGAAAGACCCGAGGAAGCTCTAATTCTTAATTACTGGCCCACCACGAATCTGCTGAAAGGGCAGGTGATGGCCAAGCCAGAGTTTTACCCTGTTGGGGCACATAAGGAGGGCACCAACGCATGCAGAGTGGTTGGTTTGTGGAGGGTTATGTGGTGACTGACAGTAGATGAGTCCGAAGTACCAGGAGCGCTGGTACACAGGCCGTTCCTCCTCAGCTCTGAGGGTAGACAGAGAAAACAGGGTTCTATGCAAGTACAGCCTGTCTTACATTCCTTTCATTACCTGTTTAGAGCCTTAATATTCCTTCCTTGAAAGACTTAGATATAAAAATTGATCCATTACTCCATCTTTGTCCTTGCCTACGAAGCTTTCTTGGGTTGAGTTTGCCCCCAACCCAAATATCTCATAGTCCACTAAGTATATACTATTATATAGAGCAGTTTTCAAAATACACTAAATATATTTCCTGCGTTTGTCTCACCCATCAGACACTGAAATTTTTATTCATCTTTGTGTCCCCAGGGCCGGATACAGCGTGAGAATATAGAAGCCGTGTAATAAATATTTCATTTATAAGTTAACGCATGAATGAATGCATGGAATACAACTGCTTTAGGCCAGTAAGGTGGTAGAAGGAGGTGGTGCCTCCACTCTTAACTTAAAAGAGGTCAATTTTAGCATCAATCTGGCAGGGAAATAGTTACCATTATTGACTAAATACTGAGCTATTCTCATCTGCTATCCATGTATGTTAAATTTAGAAATATAGAGAATGTACAGACAACATAGCTCAAGGATTAACAGTGCTAAAACATAGCATATGCTCAACACAGACCTGGCAGTTAAGGCAGAAATCACTAGTGCGTTTGCTTTAATAATTTAGATTGCTTTAACACCTGAATCATGCCTTGCCATTCCCTTTAGTCTTCATCTAAACCACAGTGAATGTGCACAAACACACTAAGCCAAGTACAGTTCATTTTATATCACCATGCTGACACAACTAAAATGCATATTTTACTCTTTATATTTCAAAGGACTTAAGGAGGAGGTTAGTGGGAAGGCAAACATGAAGGGTGAAGCTTAAGAAAAAAATAAACTTGCATCCTATTGAAATTTTTAAAAATAAGAAAAAGTTACATAGGCAAAAACTTTAAATGTCTCAAAATAGGTTTAAAAGACCATGTCACTTGGAGAGAAATAATATGGCTTAATCTCAGAAACAAGCCTGTCAATAATTTTAAAGATTCATATATACATATATATGTACTAAGTTAACCTTTGACAACTATCCTTTGCAAAGTCTATACTTTTAAAGCATAAATGTATTTATTCCAGAGGAAATAATAAAATAAAATTCCTTTTACCTCATACACATTGAATTGTGACTGCCCTCGAGAAAGTTCCCTGTAGCTCGTTGTAAACTCTCCAATGAAATCATGACTAAAATTAAGGGAGAAAAAAACATATAGTATTAGTTTTCATATATCTGTCAATTATGTTCAAAGTTTTTAAGAAATGTATAGTTTAATCATGAAGAAAATGTTTGATATTGTTAGAAACATAGCTTAGCTTATACTTAAAAGGAGACTGATACGTAATTTCATTGTTCTTTAACCCCAAATTTTGTGTACTCAAAAAGTACATTTTGTTAGCATTCCAATATTTAATTTATCCCACCAATATTAATATTTTAAACAGGAATATTAGCTTAACAACTGAGATTTCAAAAATATTTCAACTCCTGTGTATCCAAATAACTATTTAATGGGATGAAAGTTTAAGACACTCAAAAATTTATTATTACACATGTCAATAATCACAAATATAAAAAATCACCAAACTTTCCCGTGATCAGGATATAATAGGGCACTCTTTTTAAAAGGTCATCATCCCTTGTTAACATGGACAATAGTCACCAAGCCTTATTTTCAATAAGAACAACTTAAAAGTATACCGTGAATATCCAACATGGTTATTCTGAGTTTCTTCACCTTTTAAAAGCAATAGCCACTGAGAAAGCAGGCCTTCTACAGATGCCTTCTCAGTTTCGGTGGAGGTGGGAGGGGGAGGGGTTGAGTAAGCATGTGTTAGCACCAACTATAAAATGCCTATCAGCATGATTATTGAGACTGACCTATGCAATTTTAAGACATGTTACGCATTCAGCAGTTTAGAGGGAGCTATATTCCACTACTCTTTGCTAATTGAATGGTCAGCACTAGGTTGAACACAAGCTGCTAAGAAATAAGGGTGAAATGTTGGTATCCGTCCCATGGTAAAGTGTAGTGCCTCAGAGGAAGAAGATGAAGACTGCAGGAACTAAAGTCCTATAACAAAGATAAGGGATCTTGCTGCTATTCTTATCATAGAAATTAAGATTGGTCCATCTGCTTTGCAAATGAAATCTGTTCATTATCAGAAAAATGAAGATGCCCCCACCTGCCCCCCACCCCTGGCCACCCGGGTTTGGTTTAATGCTTAGCTGAGTCACTAAAATCTATAAACCTCCCACAGACCTGATGACCAATGACAAGCCACAAAAAGTTGGGTCTAGCCAAGAAAATACAATTTCTAAAAGATGGAATGTGGAAAAAAAACACAGCTGTCATTTCATTCGATTAGAATTTCTGCAATAAGAAGTGTTTCTTTAAAAAGAATTATTGCCCAGCCGATGTGGCTCAATGGTTGAGCGCTGACCTATGAAACCCTGGTCATGGTTCTATTCCTGGTTAGGGCACATGCCTGGGTTGCGGGCTCATCCCCAGTAGGGGGCATGAAGGAGGCAGCTAATCCATGATTCTTTCTCATCATTAATGGCCAACACTGTTCCTATCGCTCTCTCCCTCTTCCTTCCTCTTTTTGAAACCAATAAAAACATATTTAAATTTTTTAAAAGAATTATTTAAAATATAGCTCACTTAGATATCTAGCCTCCAGTTCTATCTCAAAGATCTTCTACATTTATCACAGTATTCTACACATGGCACTCCTCTACCCCAGTATCACCTTAACCTCTTCAAGATTTAATTTTCAGAAGTAGATCTATACACATGAAAATGGTGTGTGTGGGGGGGGAGTTAATTGAAGGCTGTGATAAATATATTTGCATTTATGAGCCCACACCCCTAGCACTCTTACTCTTTCAAGATACACAAGGAAAATTATAAAACAGTACTTTGGTGCTACACATTTCTTTTTTAAAAATATATTTTTATTGATTTCAGAGAGGTAGGGAGAGGAAGATATTGAGACAGAAACATCAATGACAAAAGAGAATCATTGACTGGCTGCCTCCTGCACGCCCCCTACTGGGGATCGAGCCTGTAGCCCGAGCATGTGCCCTTGATTGGAATCAAACCCAGGACCCTCCAGTCTGCAGGCCAAAGCTCTATCCGCTGAGCCAAACCAGCTAGGGCAGTGATACAATTTCTTATAAATAATTCTCTTTAACCTTCAGAAGTGCAAGTTAATACTTGTGATATCTTTCTCTGCAGATCTTAACAACTTAAATTAGGGAGATTCTGTTTTGAATCTACCCTCCTTCATTGTTATGTGTGTTTCTGATATCTTAATAATTACTGAGATAAAGGTTCTGTTTATAGGACTCCACCACAATACTTTGATATTGATAAGTATGGACAAGCCTAATATAACCAGAGCTCACCACATGAGTGGTAGGAATCTATTATAGAGGCCTTAAAAATAATGCCTGAGTCATTTAAGCCATTAGGTAATTTTCTGATTTTACAAATCCTAATCCCACTTGGTTAACTGTTTAAATTCAACTCTTATTGTTAACATTAAATTCCTGCCACTTAACACTAATCAAAAACTTGGTAGAGACAAGCAATATTTACTGTTGTCAAGTAAATGTAATTAATCAAGTCCCCAAGTAATACATCCATCTAGATAAAGCCAGTCCAGTTGTAACTGGACAACCAAGGGGTCCGGGCTGCCTGTCACTACTTGAGCCAATTAAGCAGAGACAGGGTTGAATCATACATGAGTGTTTATTCCAATACTGCTGGCAGCGTGGGAGAGCAGCAGGTCATCCACAAAAATCTGCTCTGCCTCTCCCCATAAGCCAGCTGCATATATTGGGTAGAAGGACAAAGATTATGTGGGAAAGTAGGAATTATAAACATGGGAAAGTAGGCAAGGTAGAATCATTATAGATTATAAAACATGCAGGCTGGGGCGGGGGGAGGGGGGGTCACAGAGGGTAGGTGCCTCCAGGCACCCCAGGACCAGATTACAGGCAATAGGGGCCGGGGTTGTAAAGAGTGGGTGCCTCCAGGACTAAACTGTTTCAGCCACGAGGTTTGTAAATCTTTCCATAATGATAGGCAGTTCTCAGGAGAGGATGGACTGCATTGCGTATCAGCTTCCGTGTCCCAGGTCGTACAACTCTCAGCCTGGGTGTACAACTCTCTGCGCTGTCCCCTACAGCTTTTTCTAATAGCTCTCCAATATTTTCTCCTGGCTTCAATTTCCTCACATTGTGTAGTTCACCAGAATTTACTATGTGATTTATATAATACTAGAGGCCCAGCTCATGAAATTCATACACAGGTACAGTCCCTAGGCCTGACCTGCAATCAGGGCCATCTTCCCCAGCTGCCCGCAGCCGGCCCTGACCCCTGCCACCACCTACTCCCGGTTCCCCATTCGCCATAGGGTGATTGGTGCCTGATGGCCAGGGGAAGGGACTAAGAGGTCAGCTGTTCCCGCCCGCTCACCGGCCCCACCCCTGTCTCGGGTGGCCATCAAACAATCAGAATCTGTCAGCCGGGAAAAGGGACTAAGAGGTGGTCAGTGTGTCTCATAGTGACTGGTCCAGCGGTTGTTCTGCCATTAGGGTCAGTTTGCATATTACCCTTTTATTATATAGGATAGAGGCCTGGTGCACGGGTTGGGGCCAGCTGGCCTGCCGTGATGGGGGCCCTGGATCGGGGTGGGGGTCCCCGCTGGGGGCCAGGGTGGCCTGGGCAAGGGGTTGCAGGGAGTTTGCAGGCCAGCCACGCTCCTGGCTTTGTCAGGAAGGAAGTCCAAAAGATGTCAGGTCTAATTAGCATATTACCCTTTTATTAGGATAGATGTTTATTATATCTTATTATAAGCTGCTTTGGATCCTTTTAAGAATAAGAGGACATACATAAATTTAAAAATGAGTAAAAACGTGCCCCCCATTCTGAATCTTGTTCAAGATGGCTATTTTGAATAAAAAAATGAATTTGCATATCAAACAAATGAAATGCTATTCTTGTGTTGTAGAGGAGAAAATGAATTAAGTGAGTCACAAATTGCTTTTCAGCCTCTGAGACATTTCTGTGAAATTAAAAATGGATGATCAAGAGGTGAGAATGTGTTCAAAGTTCATGAGCATAAGGCAGTAAGTAGCACAATAAAATAGTTATTCTTAGAAGTAAGGTGCCTGGTCTCCAGAATAAATCAGAGAATTTGGGTGGATAAGTGGAGAGATTCTTAGGTCAATTTTGTTATAGATATCTCAAAATATTGGACATTTTTATAGTTTTCTTTGTTACCTGTCCTATTTAAAAAACTATATTAAATTATAGATTAGTACTTTAAAAAAGTATTAAACACGGTTTTCACTGATTTATTCTTATAATTATCTTTTCCCCAATCATCAATTATTTCTAGATTTTATTAAGATTAAAGGGAGGAAAATTAAATGTGCTATAATATTTATATCTGTTCATGATTTTCAATGGTATAACATTGAAACAACTTTCACTATACAGAGAAATATGACAAAAGATTTTCATAATAAATCACAATTTCCTTGTGATTCAATAATACTGTTTCGCTATTTCCTATTAACTTAATTGAAACTAAAATAACTTCCCTGTACTATAAGCCTCTCTGACTACATTTACAAAATAGAGTTTACTCCCTGATCTGATTTACATCTGATTCCTCAATTTTTCTCTCAACAAACTCTTAAAGCTTCAACTTGATTGACGCTTCCATATTTATCTCATATTTCAGGACTTCTCTACACACATCCCAGACTCTGGACAAAATGGGACTGGGCCACATTCCCAGACATCCTGAACTTTCTCCATTTCACAAATTTACTAATGATATTTCAATATAAAATGTAGCCTCTATTAGAACAGAAAGATAACTGAAACTATTTAAATATGTATAATAACTAGGGGCCCGGTGCACAAAGATTCATGCACGGGGGTAAGAGGGGAAGGAGTCCCCTCAGCCCGATGTGCACCCTCTGTCACATTCTGGGACCCCAGCCACTCCGAGCCTAGGCACGGGCCTACAGGCTTGGGGTAGCCTGGCTCCTGAGGACGCCTATCCCGGGGACACAGGCCTTTTGGTGCCGGCACGTGCAAGCGGCTGCAGAGCAAGAACCTCCACCAGCGCCCGCCCACACACTCCAATGGGGTGGAAGCTTCTGC